CCTCCAGGAAGGAACGGAGCCAGGCTAACGCCAAGCCACCAATTCCCAACTCGGAGAGCCTCCCCAGGAGGATACCGTGGTCAACGGTATCAAAGGCCGCCAAGATGTCGAGGACCAAGAGACACTTTGCCCCTGTCAGCCTCCCTCAACAGATCATTGTACAGGGTGACCAATGCCGTCTCTGTACTGTGGCGCGGCCTGAAGCCCGACTGGAATGGATCCAGGGCATCTGTGTCATCCAAGTGGGTCTGAAGCTGATCAGCCACCACCCTCTCGACCACTTTCCTCATGAAAGGAACATTGGCGACGGGCCTATAATTGCCAATCTCGTCCACCGCCATATTAAGTTTCTTTCTAATGGGCCTAATGAGTGTCTCCTTGAGGGCAGATGGAAACCTGCCCTCAAGGAAAGACTCATTTATTATTGCTGTGGCCCATTCTGTTGTTTTCGGCCTGGCTGCTTTGATTAGCCAGGCCGGGCAAGGGTCAAGGGAGGAGGAGGAGGCTTGACAGCGGTCAAGCACCTTGGCTACAGAATCAGGCCTGACAGGCTGAAAGGTGTCGAAAGTTACCGGGCAAGACGGAGCGCTGGACATCTCTGCTGGACTCACTGTATTCAAATTCATATTACATGTCTTGTGGATTGTCCAACATACTGAAAGTTAGCCACTTTTTTAGATGACTCCCAGAACCACCCAGCTGGCCATTCTGGCAGGGGAATTCTTGGAGTTACAGCCCAAAAAGCAGCATTTCCAAGCCCTGCAATTAGTATTATGGCATAAATTTCATTCCGATCCGTTGGCTGAAGTCCACTATACCTTATATAATAATAAAAAATAATAATGATGATGATTTCCAAGCCCCGCAAATAGTATTATGGCATAAATTTCATTCCGGTCCATTGGCTGAAGTCCACTATACCTTATATAATAATAAAAAATAATAATGATGATGTCTGGAAATAAATGGCTGGATCACTGGGATTGCCATTCCAGGAGATGCCAGAGTCGAAGCTAAAGAACTGGAAAAATTAACAAAATACAGAAATATGGCAATCAAAACATCTTGCTTGTGAATGAAACATACCTCAGTGGTTCCCATCGTCATCAGGGCTTTGGGAACAGTATAAAGAAATGTCACACAGTATAAGCAGTTGCAGATTCCAGAAATAACACAGAGCTACAAAAAAGTGACCATATTAGGAACAGCATATATATTGCACCGATATTTCACAGATACTTTGCTTTTTAGTTAAAACTTGTATCTGTTAGGTAACACCAGTCAATGTTTTTATAATTCTGATTGTGCCTGGCATTTTTAAACAACGACAACAACAAATCCTGTTGATCTTTTAAAAGGACCAGAAGACTCTTTGTAATTTTTACCTCTCAGGCGAGCGGAGCAGGTTGCATGAGCTATATACACAAAATTCCAAGGATAATTTCGATTACACACAAGCTTTATTTTTATTTTCCCTAAAGGCTTTTCAATGAGCTTCTTGAGTAGCTTCTTGCCTTAAAAACATCCAGGCAGGATGCCCTTAAAATAGAGCCCTTCCACGCTGTGTTGGGACGTGGGTGGACTGAAGGAGCGCAACTGAGCGCCGCCACGTTCCCTGAGGAGGAGGAGGAGGAGAGGCTCGGAAGACGAGCGAGCCTGCGAGCGCCAGGGAAGTGGGGCGATCCCCAACTTGGGCCGGTTCCTTGTCTCTCGGTGTGCGTGGCAGCTTTTCTCCCCACCCCACCCCCGTGCCGAGGACCTCGGGAGGCGGTTCTGAGCCAAAGGGGCCGGGCAGGAATGAAGGAGCCCGCCTGAGTCCTCCCCGCCGCTCCCCTCTCCTGCCTGCCTGCCATTGAATGGAGAAGCGGAGGCTGTCCCGCCAGCTCGGGTTGCCTTTGCCGTCGCCCGTCGCCCCTTGCCGCCTCAGGCGCTAGCTGGCCGTGGGCGGCCCGGACCCACCTCCCCCACAGAGGAGCAAAGCGCGCGAAGAAAACAAGAGAGAGAGACAGACAGACAACCCCCCCCGCGCGCGCGCACCACCATGTCTTCAGCCAAACAAAGGGGCAACAAGGGGAGCAACAGCGGCAGCCCCGGCGCGTCCTCGGAAAAGGGAGGCCATGCGAGCCACCCCGATGACGTGGCGAAGAAGCAGCAGCAGCAGCAAAATCCGCCTCATCCCAAGGGCAGCAAAGGGGGCTCGGCGGCTGGCAGCAGCAGCAGATCGCCCTCCTTCTGCAGCCTAGGCACGGCCTTCAGCTTCCTCTTCTCCCTCGCTTTCTTGGCGGCGGCCGCCCTCTCGGGCTACTATCTCCATCACCTCTTGGGAGAAGTGAACCAGATCGGCCTCCGGCAAGAAGCCTTCGCCGGCCAGCGAGACGAGCTGGCTCGCACCTTGGAAGGGGCCGTCCAGAAGGTGAGCGGGAGGGGGGGGAAGCCGCCGGAGAGGTTTGAAAGCGACGCCTCCCTTCTCTTTTTTTCTTGGCGGCGGCCGCCCTCTCGGGCTACTATCTCCATCACCTCTTGGGAGAAGTGAACCAGATCGGCCTCCGGCAAGAAGCCTTCGCCGGCCAGCGAGACGAGCTGGCTCGCACCTTGGAAGGGGCCGTCCAGAAGGTGAGCGGGAGGGGGGGGAAGCCGCCGGAGAGGTTTGAAAGCGACGCCTCCCTTCTCTTTTTTTTTTAAGTTGGCCGGGAAGTGGCAAACTTTGCAAAAACGAGGGACGACTACAATACAGGCTGGATCCCACTGACTGGAACGCCGCAGCCCCCCAGCCAGCCTGGCCGCGGGAGTTTGAGTCAAAGGCAGGAAGAAGAACTTTCTTTCCCAAGCTTTAGGAAGGCGGGCCTCTCACATCTCAAACGCATTTTGTGTAGAAGCTGCTTTGGGGGTGAATTCCGTTCTTGCTTTCTATACTGTATTGCAGTTCTTGTTTGCTCTGTTGTCTTTTCGGGGAAGGGGGAGCAAATCCCTTTGAAACAACGGATGTCTTTGTACAAGAGACTTTTACGAGTGGGCTAGGGAAGTGAAAATTTGGCTGGCATCCGTGGGAGAGCATACCTACCTACCTACCTACCTACCTACCTACCTACCTATCTATCTATCTATCTATCTATCTATCTATCTATCTATCTATCTATCTATCTATCTATCTATCTATCTATCTAAGCCTATAAGCATATCTCTTTCCTTTCCTGAGGGATAGCTCCCCATGCTGTTGCAAACAAAATAGCTTACACATTTTTAAGCATAAGTAAGCCTTCCCCGTGTGCAGTGATGCTTACTTCCAGCAAAACATGTTCTGTATTGCAGCCAGATAGGCCTTGGGTATCTGAAATCTTAGTGACATGTGTTTTTATAGCCCATCTAAGAATGCCATAGAAGCCACACAACAGTATTTCGAAATAATCCACAGGAATTTGAGGGAGAAAGAAGGCAAGTGGCAGAGTAGCATGTTAGCAAAATGCGCATGCAAAGCATAAGTACAGTATAGCTGTCTGTTTACAGTTACAGTAGGAATCCTTGTAACTGTACAGCACCTTGTGTTATTGGTGGAGCATGCATCTCTTTTACTTTTTACATTATACTTGTAAACATATGAATTACTTACCGTATGCACACTTTTAAATATAAACAGATTTATTTTAATCAAAGGCACATTTGATTGGAGTTAAACAAAAGCACAGCCCCATCTCTAAAGACTTGAAATATGCTTGAGGGAAAGGGGGTGGTGGTGGTTTCATGGCCTAAGTATTTACAACCAGTCAGCTTCGTGGAACTGGAGTCTGGGCTTCTACTCAAGGCATTCTGGGAACTGTAGTTTTGGGTGGGGATGGGGGAATGAAAGAATAGTGATCGTAACCAAATTCTTTGTACTTTGCAAAATAGCCAATTCAGCAGGAGAACTTTAAATGGTCCGCTTCCAAATTGTCTTTCGTATTTTTGCCTCAAGCAGATGGTTTTAAACTTGGCTTTTTCTAAAGGAAGAGAAAAAGAAAAATCAGAATTCTAGCAAGAATTACACAAAAAAGCAAAAGAGTCTATTTGAGGGCACAGATCTCCACAGAAACCATAATTTATTTTTTTAAAAGCATTTGGACCAACAGAATTGATCTGACCAGCCAGATGTTCCAGTCATGCGTTTCTCTGAGATTACTACTGCCATTTAAATAGTTTGGTTTAAAAGCACCTGATTGCTAGGACAGCATAGTATCTAACAGACTTGGGAACTGGCAAGTCTGGTGTTGAAATCTTAACACTGCCCCTAATTCAATAGCTATTTTAGTTTACCACCTTGAACCCAAGCCAGAATTTAAAATGAACAAGGAACACTGTAGAAATATAGGTCTGATGCGTGGTTGAGTGGTGCCACAGTTTTTTGAAATACAGTGGTGCCTCGCATAGCGATCACTCCGTATAGCGATGAAATCGCAGGGAAGCGATCATCGCAAAGCCCCCATTTTCAGCCAGCTGATCGGCAGTTTCAAAATGGCCACCAGGTAAACAAAATGGCCGCCCGCTGTTTTCAGGCACGGATTCCTCACTTTAGAGGCACCGAAAATGGCGGCGCTATGGAGGATCTTCGCTTAAAGGTGAGTTTTAAGCCCATAGGAACGCATTAATCGTGGTTTAATGTGTTTCTATGGGCTTTTTATTTTCGCTTAGCGATGTTATCGCTTAGTAGCAATTTTTCTGCACGAATTAAAATTGCTAAGCGAGGCACCACTGTACATTTTATTGTATTTTGTGGCAGGCAGCACAGCTGAAAGTCAGTCTTGGACTAGTCAATTGTAAAGTAATTACAAAAGATTACAAGGTGGAAATTGGAAGGGCAATATCTTAGTGTTAGGATCCAGTCAATCCCTAACTGGTTTCCCTCACTTGAAACCTTGGAGAACCAGTACTTTGACAGTACTATAATACAGTGGTCCCTTGCAAGACAATTGCCTCACAGGACGATTAATCCGCAAGATGGTTTTTCCTATGGACGATTTTTGCAAGACAATGTTTGTGTCTATGCTTCGCAAGATGTTTTTTTTTTAAGACCGATGCTTCGTAAGACTTTTTTCCCCCGCTGGAACTCATTAAATAGATTTCAATGCATTCCAATGGGGAACCGCGTTTCGCAAGACTTTTTTTTAAGACTGATTCGCAAGACTTTTTCCCCCCATTGAAATGCATTAAATAGACTTTTTTTTAAGACCGATTCGCAAGACTTTTTTCCCCCATTGAAATGCATTAAATAGATTTCAATGCATTCCAATGGGGGACCGCGTTTCGCAAGATGATGTTTTCTATGGACGATTTTCACAAGACGACGATTTCCCCCCCCCCCTTGGAACACATTAAATAGATTTCAGTGCATTCCAATGGGGAACCGCGTTTCGCAAGACGATGTAAGACCGATTCGCAAGACTTTTTTCCCCCATTGAAATGCATTAAATAGATTTCAATGCATTCCAATGGGGGACCGCGTTTCGCAAGATGATGTTTTCTATGGACGATTTTCACAAGACGACGATTTCCCCCCCCCCCTTGGAACACATTAAATAGATTTCAGTGCATTCCAATGGGGAACCGCGTTTCGCAAGACGATGTTTTTGTAAGACAGCGATTTTCACGGAACAAATTAACATAATCTTGCGAGGCACCACTGTGGATGGATCAAGAGCCAAACTCATTGTAAGGTAGATTCATCTATTCCTGTAATGGGGCGGGCAACTTTATTCTGGAACTCATCATGGTCTGCTGTTGCACAGCTGAAACGTAATAGCAAATTGTACCTCTGGGACTACATGGCATAGTGGCAAACATCACTGAAACAAGCAGAACTGGATAGTCTGGCTTGCTGTGGAATTTCAAAAAACCCTTTAAAGATAAATTTCTGCTTGTTTAAATAGCATTGAGTAGTTTGGTGCCAAATTGCTATGCTGTGGTGGTGGTGGGCTGTGAATCAAGTGGAGTACCCCAGGGCTCAGTCTTGGACCCAGTGTTCTTTAACATTTTTATTAATGACCTGGATCAGGGGATGTTAATCAAATTTGCTGATGATGCAACATTGGGTGGGATAGCTAATATCCTGGAAGACACTGAAACAGAATTCAAAACAATATAGATAGGCTTGAGCACTGGGCTTAAAAAAACAACAGAATGACATTCAACAGGGATTGGTGGGCTGTGAATCACAAAAACAGTCTGTGTGCGGCTCATGACATATACATCGGCCACTCCATTCCTATCACATGCTCTTTCGTTTATTATATTTATGAATATGATGTGATACTCACTTCAGAAGTGAAACGGAATATTTTATTTTCTGGTAACTAGGGATGGAACTATGGTTTTAAAATGAAAGAGGAAAACACAACAAGAGGCTCTTATTTTTGCTTCGGACCCACCCATGTTCTTTCCCCTTCCACTCCTTGTCTCATCCATACCATGGACTTCTTTGTTGAACCTCTTGCCTCATTGCCACTGTCATGCACATTGCCACTGTCCCACACCATTTCTCCCTTTCACCTCCTTCTCCTTGCTTTGCTCCTGCTGAATTTTTAGGGCATCAAACAGGGAGAAAATAACAAGTGGAGTACCCCAGGGCTCAGTCTTGGACCCAGTGTTCTTTAACATTTTTATTAATGACCTGGATCAGGGGATGTTAATCAAATTTGCTGATGATGCAACATTGGGTGGGATAGCTAATATCCTGGAAGACACTGAAACAGAATTCAAAACAATATAGATAGGCTTGAGCACTGGGCTTAAAAAAACAACAGAATGACATTCAACAGGGATAAGTGCAAAGTACAGTGGGGTCTCGACTTACAAACTTAATCTGTATTGGAAGGCAGTTCTCAGGTCGAAAAGTTCTTAAGTCGAATCTGCATTTCCCATAGGAATGCATTGAAAACCATTTAATCTGTATCTGCTCTTTTCGTCCATAGAAACTAATGGGAAGCTGCTATTCTTCCTTCTGCCACTAGAGGGGGATATTTTTTCTTTTTTCCTTTTAACCTAAGATGACTTAGCTTTTAAAAAAAGGAAAAAAAAGAGTTCGTAACTCGAATCTAAGTTCGTAAGTCGAGTCCATATAGTCCTATGAGAGCGGTTCGTAAGTTGAAACGTTCGTATGTCGAGCCGTTCATAAGTCAAGACCCCACTGTACTGCACCTAGGAAACAGAAACCAAACACACAGTTGCAAGATGGGGGATACTTGGCTCAGCAATACTACAATTGAGAAGCATCTTGGAATTGTTGTAGATCACAAGCTGAATATAAGTCAACAGGGTGATGGGCTGTGAAAGAGGCAAATGCTATTTTAGGCTACCTTAACAGAAGTATAGCCTCCACATCTCATGAGGTGCTAGTTCCCCTCTATTCAGCACTGGTATAGGCCTCACCTTGAGTATTGTGTCCAGTTCTGGACACCACACTTCAAGAACGATGCTGACAAATTGGAACAGAAAGAGCGGAGTTTAATAACGCTGGAATGCAAGCCCTATGAGGAAAGACTGAAAGAGCCTTTAGAAGACAGAGGGGAGACATGATAGCACTTTTCAAATACTTGAAAATACTGTTATACAGAGCAGGGTCAGGTTCTGTTCTCAATCTTCCTAGAGTGCTGAACATGCAACAAGTTACAGGAAGTCAGATTTCAATTGAATATCAGGAAAAACTTGTTAACTATTAGAGCAGTATGACAATGGAACCAATTACCTTGAGAGGTAGTGAATGCTCCAACAGTGGTGGCATTCAAGAGAAATTTAGACAACCACCTGGCAGATATCCTTTGATTGTATTCTTGCATTAAGCAAGGCATTGGACTTATAGGCGGCTTCCAGCTTCATTATTCTATAATTTTTTTAACCAGTACCAGAAAAATCAATGTGGAAAATGAAACAAATTGATCCAAAAGAAGTGCTTCCTTGTGTGGTAAGCAAAAGAAATTCTGCATGAAAATCTGAAAATGAGTCTCTCCATCCCCCAAGAAACCAAAATGAAATGTAAAAATTTTTGCTCTGCACATCCCTATGCATTTATGTCTCTGCCCTGTGAAGGTTTTTAGCACTGTTCAGTTTATTCTCCTTCTTGGTTTATTAATTTATTTTTTTTACTGTTACCTTTTTTCCCCATGGGATGTTTTCCTGGTTGGAAAGTGTTGCAGTGAAATGCACAGATGGGAGTTCATGTCCTGCAAAACCTGTTCCAGTGCCCTAGCACTAAGGGGCACCTCATTTTGTCACAAAGTAAAATAAGCTATTGTTGGTTGTTTATTTAATTATACATCTTTACCTTTTCTCTAGTAAGATTATTGTGGCATACATGGCTCTTCTCCAACTCAATTTATCCTCACAAAACCCTGTGAGGTAGGTGAGGCTGAGAAAATGTGACTGGTCCAGATAGCTGGTCCAAGTGTTTGGGATTTGAACCTTGGCCACATGAGTCGCAGACCAGCACCTGTGAGGGTTCGTTTGGAAGGGCTGTTTGCACAACACCATACGGTCGCACAGTTTCTTTGCAGATATAGATGGCTTACTTGCAACAGGATAGAAGTGGCACTTTATACCCCTCAAGGCCACATGAGTCGCAGACCAGCACCACACCATACGGTCTCACAGTTTCTTTGCATATATAGATGGCTTGCTTGCAGCAGGATAGAAGTGGCACTTTATACCCCTCACTCAGATCCTCTTTGTACTCAACTTGCAAATTGGTTAAAGGAAACGGAGGTTTTTTCAGTAGCTAGAATAATAGTGAGCTGTAACAATCTGCCAGTGTTGCTGCAGTTAATATTGCTCTTGTGATGATCTCTAAATATGTCTTTGTACTTAACTGTACATTAATTGTTATAAAAATTAAATATGTCTTTGATAGAAACTACTTAACTGTACATTAATTGTTATAAAAATGAGTTTAGACATGTGCTTGACATAGAGTTTTCTCTACTGGTTCATGAAACGAGCATTGGCGTTGAAACCATAGTGATTTTTTTAATGCTTTCCACATTTGCTTCATGTAGGGTAGTATGCTATCGAAGTTCAGTCTTCTGATAATGGTCATAATATCCCTAAGATAATATCTCAAAGATCTGCATTTCATTCCAGAAATGCCATTATTTTATCTTATTGTTGGTTGTTTAAAGAAAAGGTACTGGCCATGATCCGTTGCAATAGACACAAACTCACTGACAGTAGCATGTGTAGCTGCAGGGAAAATACACAACTCTGCAAATCCTAGCTGTTCTGGATGGATTTGGAAGTTGTCTGCATTGTAGTTTATTTACTATTCTGTATTGTGCATTCAGATTACATCCTTGCAAAGGTTTCCTTGATACTATAACAGCGTTCCATGTCTAAATCACACTGGCCATGTGACCACGGAAAGATTGTCTTCGGACAAACGTCCTACGTAGAATATTGGGCATTCAGATTACATCCTTTCAAAGGTTTCCTTGATACTATAACTGGCATGGTTAATGTGTGGGTTGTAGAAGAATTATTATTTTGAAACGTTTGTCACCAGCTGGTGTATTCCAGGGACTGAATCTGGATTTAGGCATGAGCTTCAGAAAGCAGAGTTGTCTTCCCATCTGCTTCTCTCCTTGGTGGTCCTTCCTGCTATGTGTACTGGTCACGAAATGGGAAGGCTGATAGTTTAGATGATTACAAGCAATTAAGAAAGAAATTAACTTTAGAGAGAGAGAGAGAGACGTTAATGAAGAGAATCAGATAGGGTACTGGCTACATAATGCCAATTAGGATTGGCCGAAGAAAGGCTTTGAAGTTAGCTCTCTACCTCTATGAGAAAGAGGAAGAATGGGTAGCCACTCCTTGCTCAGAAGCAGCTGCGTCCCGCTAGGAGAGTGTGCTTGTCACTACAACAGGAATGCAGCTTAGCAACCTTGGGGAGAGGGTTCCCACAGCTATGCCCTACCAAAATCCTACTTTTAGGAAAAGGAAACACTGCTGGAGGTGGCAAGCTGTGTTGTGGAGCTAATCCTTAGGAATCAACTGGGGACAAGCTTTGTAGTCTAAATCCGTGTTTTTCAACGGTTGGCCCTTTGGATCGCTTGGATTTCTGCCACAGTCTGGGAATTTTTTTTTTTTAACCACAACTCCTGGAATCCTACACTGGGAATGATCAGGAATCAGTTCAAAAACATCTACAGGCCCAGAGTTGAGAACCACTGGTCTAAACCATCAATACAGACTTGTCTGGATTTGCTGGGCATTCCCTCCCTCTGCCCCCATTCTGCTTTGTTTAAGACCATTGTAGACCTTTCAGGCATCTTTCTCTTGTCTAAATTTATTCATGTGCTTATTTCTCTTTCAGGTGCAGTCTCTCCAGTCTGCCTTTGGAGGTTTTGAATTGACACTGAAAAATGCCCAGCAAAAGCAAGAAGTCACTGAAAAAGCTGTTAAGCAAGGGGAGAATGAGATCAATCGCATTAGTGAGGTTCTTCAGAAACTACAAAATGAAATTCTAAAAGACTTATCTGATGGTATCCATGTTGTAAAAGATGCAAGGGATCGAGATTTCACATCTCTGGAAAACACAGTGGAAGAAAGGCTTACAGAGTTAACCAGGTCTATAAATGACAATATTGCTGAATTTACAGATGTCCAAAAGCGGAGTCAAGATGAAATCAATGAAGTAAAAACAAAGGTGGCTTCACTGAGTGAAATGGAAAACTACAGACAGGAACTCCAGATTTTGAAAAGTGCTGTTGATGACATGCAAGCTTCCATGAAGGCTAAAGAGAAAACAATTGAATCACTGCGAAATACCATAGATTCGATGGAGTCTGATGTGTTGTCTGAAGTCAAAGAACTTGTCAACCTCAAGCAGGAGCATGAGAAGTTCAAGGAAGCTGCTGACACAGAGCATCTTTCACTGCAAGCTTTACAAGAGAAGGTTCTTAAAGCAGAAGAGTCCATTGCTCATATTCCTGATGAGCTTAAAGGACTCAGTAAAGACTTGCAACACATCAAAGAGTCTGCTAAATTAGAAAGCTATGCATTCACCAAGGAAGATATTGAAAATCTTCAAAAGAGTAATGAAGAATTTGAATCGAGGTTCAGGTCCATAGAAGAGAACATTCACACTCTGAAATTGCCATCTAGTCAAGACAGGGAAGATACACAATCTGTTCTCTACAAGTATAACAGCAAGATAGATGAGCTGGAGGAAAGTCTTGGCTTTCTCCGTGGGACTTTAGATAATGAAGTGCGTTTTCTTGAGGATACAGTAAGGAGTCTTAGTGAAGCCAAGCTGTCTATGTATAGTGACATTGATGAACTAAAGAAACGTGTAAGCGATTTATCTAGCAACACTGATGTACTTGATAATATTCAGAAACAAGTTCATGCTTTACTGAGTCAAGAAAAACCTCCAGTGGAAATGGGACAGAGTCAAGACCACCTAGGGGAACTCTCCTCTGTAAAGGGTTCTGTTGATGAATTGCGATCATCTCTTGGCCAGGTTGAATCTGACTTAAAAATGCTCAGGACCGCCGTTGACAGTTTAGTTGCGTACTCTGTGAAAATAGAGACTAATGAGAACGATGTGCAATCAGTAAAGACCTCATTAGATGATATCAGGAATGACCTAGACAGGTTGTTTGTGAAAGTGGAAAAAATACATGAGAAGGTTTAAGCATCGTATACAAAACACATTGTAACTTTTGAGTTACAAAAGCAACACACACACACTCACACAGCCCCACACAGCTGTTGTAGGCCAAAGAGCTTGTGATGTTGCTGAGGAGAGTAGAATATTGGTGGGTTAGAAACCACAGTCTTTGAGGCCTCTAGAAAAATGCATTCCAATTAGGATGCTATTTTTATTTTTATTTTGTCAATTCCTAGCACAAATAAATGTTTTTCTGCTGCTTGGTGCACACAAGGGGTGGGGTGGGGGAGAAAAAGGCAAATCATGGTAAGCATTGCCTTGGTCTTTTTGATGGATAAAGGTCACTATGCACAATGCTGCCTCATACATCTGAACACAGGAAGCACACTAACTGTCCAGGTGCAGATAGTCAGCGCTTGGAAACATTACTTTTTTGGACTACAGCTACCCAAAATCCTCCAGCCAGCTTTACTGCCTATGCCAATTGGAGGATTTTGGGAATTAAAAGTCCAAAAGTAACTTTTCAAAGCTCTGTGCTCTCTCCATCAAAATGAAGCAACAACTACTGCATGCAAGAACTTTGTGTATATATTAAAGCATCCATAGGGGTCTGCATAGGCATGTAGGCTATATAGTCAGTGCAAGAAAGGTGTGGAGAAGTAGGTTGAAATCAAACACCAAATTAACTTCTTCCAAAATGTATAATGAGGCTTGCTTTTTGCAAGCTTGATAATCAATAGTACTACTTCATAGCAAAACCAAAGAATTATTTTCTTATGCTGGTGCTTTTGAACTGTCTGTGCCATATAAAAGTTGGCAACAATGGATAGAATTATTCCATAATCTCATTTTTCCCTTGGAACCATGTACCATTTTGTAGGATAACATTTTCACCTGCAACATTCCCATTTGTTGCTTCAGAGATTTGTAGAAACTAGGATCAGATGAAATGTGTGAAGGAAAAATACACCATGTTGATAATGTGCCAAAAGAAGAGTGTGATGCTAAACAGTAGTGCAGAGTTATTTACCACGGCCATTCTCTTAACATCTGCCTTGTGTGTTGGTAAAGTCGAGTAAACTTTACTCTGAGATCCATACCAAGTGCCTGATTAACTTCGACAAAACAGAACCACACATCGGACTAATTAAAACAAAAAACTTTGAATGTGGGAGGTTTGTGTTGCCAGAATCAAAAGTGTTAGTAATATTGTTCATGTTTAAGAACCACTGAATTATACAATTGCTTAGATTCTTGTGTATGTCCCTTAGAAACTACAGTATCTGCATTTTGGTCTTTCACTTGAAAAAGGCTTATATTTTTAGAAAGGTGCTGAATCAGAGAAGACAAGCTTTAGAAGAATGTTTGTGACATACAGACTTCCTTTAGCTGTTGAACTTTGGAAACACTGCAGCAACACGGGTAACAAGAAACAGTCCTGATGTAGGATGCAAAAAAAGATGTTCTCAGCAATATCTATCAGGAGACCTGATGCCTTAGACGCCTGGAAGGATGTGCTATGCTCAGATTAGCTGATACTTTTCTAAACATTTCTTCACTGTCTTTGTCTTGAATGACTATATAGTTGACTGTGAAATAAACTTTTTCCCAGTATCTGTAATACTTAATAAATGAAAGATGGAAATGATCTAAGCGTTTAAATGGAGATCATGTTAAAATACGTGACCTGCTTTGAATAGTTCTGTTTAATATATAATAGCTGGATCAGTGGAAATTCATATTGAGAACCACATATGATGAGAGAGCAGATTTAACTTTGCCTCTTATGTACTCTTAATTCAGATCAGTTTTCCAACTTTGTGGCATCGTGTCCTCTTTTTTCTGTATTTGAGAGACCCTCTTGCTTCTGAACCTCTCCTTTGTTATCCTCCAAATACTTTATAATATACAATTTCATTTGTAATTTAAAATTAAAAGTAAACATAAAAATAATGCAAACATTGTAAGTTAAAAATAAAAAATATTTTGCTTGAGGAGTTGTAAATTCTAGTAACAGTAGCTTTTACAGAAATGTAGGTTGATTTTTAAAGATTCCTTTATGAAAATCTCACAGTCTCTCTCTCCCTGCTCCCCAAGCTTGGTAAAAAGTGAGATGGTTTGTACATGCATCCATCCACGCACCCCATAAAAGGGTCACATGATTGAACACTGGTAAAACCAATGCTTCATGATCATGAGAAAGGCTAACACAGACATGTACGTGTTCCTCCAATCTATTTTTCAAGAAGTGATGAATAAAGGCTGCTCACTGCATTACGTTTTTTAAAAAAGATCTTGAATGGCATTGTGTGATTTTGCAAAAACACGTCATACCTTTCTTACCTCTAAAAGGTGTTGTTACCGTAAAGCTCTGCTTTCAAAATATACCTTTAAAAATAAGAGCTAAGACTTACCTTTTGTGAACCCAGATCTGCTTTAAATCTTCAAGAGGCACGAAAGCCAGTTGTGGGGATTCCTTGAATTTCCAAATGGTTTGAGCTTCAGTTCTCCTAGACAATTTCTGGAAAGCCAAGGTGCCCCATCCATGGTCAACATTCTGATCAATGCATCAATCCAGGAATCAGTTGGAGGATTCTCAGCTTCACATGCTTCTGTGTTCTACCTGGCTAGATAATTCAATGAGGGTGTGACTACACAACAGGGAGATGTGAATTAATTCAGATTCTTTGATTGTGAAGTCACACCGGAGCATTCAGTTCTCTGATATAAGCGGCTGCAAAAGGAGAGGAGGAGGGAAAAAGCCTTCTACTTGCAGTTTGTTTAAACCATATATGTTGCCTTTCTCCCAAGGGATCCAAGGTGGATTACAGTATTAAAGTTTAAAACCAAATAGGACATTACAATATCAAAAAAAAATTGAAATATATTAAAACTTATAATAAAAGCAATATTAAAAACACAAGTAAAACACAGAACAAAATTCTTTTTAAAAAATACCCCTGGTCAATTAGTCGTTTAAAGCAGTGGTTCCCAACATTTTTTAATTGGCATACCCTATTTCCATAAACTGGACCCTTCATATTAGCAGAATGCTTGTAATTAATATGGTTGCTGTTGTTTCAAATTTATATGTTTTAACTATAAATAGCCCAGCAATGGCATTAGAAAGCAATGGAATAATAAGTTGAACAGACAGTGCATATATATTTGCATTCAAAACCCAAAAGATGAAATCAGTTCAAGTAAATACATCACAGAAGGCCCGGAAGCACTCACTCATTGAGCAAAGCTCTCAGGAGTGACTGAGATGCCTGCTTATACACTGTATATGCTTTGGTACCAGCATGACAGCATTTGAATGTTTGCAAAATGGGGGAGAGGATATGCTGCTGAACAAGCACACTGTAGTGGTGTGTTCACAGCACATTGTTTAGGGAGGGACTTGCCACCATTCACCAAAATAACAAAGTGAAGGAATGGGGCATTCTTAAGCATAAATAATGAAGAATACCTACTCTGCCACTCATATTTCACACCTTTTGACTTGCATCTTGTCTTATACTGCAAGTATATATGTACCTTTTCTTCTTCGTGGTCTCTGTGAATGCACACATATGGGTCTTGTCTGCGCCTGTGCTGACATTCTTGGAATTTTCTAGAGCTAAAAGTAACAATTTTATGAGGTGATTACCCCATGAGGTACATGTTCCTCCCACCCAAGATTTTCCTGCCATTATTCATTTTTTGTTCATTATTAATTCATTATTCATTTTTTGTGTACTCCTAAATGTCTTTTTTTGTATCCATGGGAGTATACATACCCCAGGTTAGGAGTCACTCATTTCAAGTAAAACCTGCCTGAGGAGAAAGGTCTTCATTTGCTTGCAGAAGGACAGCAAAGATGGGGCCAGCCTGACCTCCTGTGGCAGGAGGTCTGGGAGCAATGAGTCTGGGAGCAATGACAGAGAAGGCTTCTCCCATGTCCCCACCAAACACATCTGTGAGAATGGTGGGCCTGAGAGAAAGGCCTCCCCTGGTGATCTTAATACTTGTGTAGGCTCATAAAGGGAGATGTGATCTTTGAGATAGCTTGGACCCAAGCTGTGTATGGCTTTATAGGTTAAAACTAGCACTTTGAATTGTGCCTGGAAATGGATCAGCAGCCAGTGAAGCTGCTGTAAAAGGGGAGTTATACGTTCCCTGTAACCAGCTCCAGTTATTAAAAGTTCTGATTGAAGCACCAGTAGGTGGCACTGCCTCAAGAAAGCTTTTCTGCATCTCCATCTCTCATTTCCCTATCTTATTTTGTTGGCAATGAATGAATGAATGAATGAATGAATGAATGAATGAATGAATGGGCAGGACTTGGCTGAGGGAACTGTTTTAAAAAGTGGCTTAGGGGAGGAGAGGCTATGTGGAGAGAGGTGAATGCTGGTGCTGCTCGTGTATGTGTGTGCATGTGCATGCACACTCTTAGTACCTTGTCCTACAGAGGTGAGGGGAAAGATGCTTCGTCAAAGCACTGCTTTGTATGTGTCTGCGTGCTTGCTTGGTCTTTCTATGGAAATGTTTTTCAGAAATGTAGCAGTCTGACAGTGAACCATAATGAGAGTGGTTTGCTTTTGCATGTCTTTCCCTGGACCTGAACATCATGCCCACAAATGCATCACTGAAACATACTACCTACAGACAGCCCTCCCTTTGCAAGTACGTGTCATGGGGAAAAAACTGTTCAAATCGTTCAAGCTAGAAAAAAGTAGAAGCCCTCCATAGGAAGAGGAGAAAAGCCACTTTGGGAGCTAAAACAACCGAACCTACTTGAGTCAGTCTTTGCATCATGTAGCTGGTAAAAAGTACTTCAAATGTGCTTGTTTTGTAAGTAGAACAAATGCCGTGGTATTTGACTGTATAGTTTCTCTCTGAGTTAGGTATCTAGCTTCAGAGTCAGAGGTCAGGAGTTGATTCCCTACTGTGCCTCCTGGGAGAAAAGCCAGCCTGCGTAGCTTTGGGCAAACTGCACAGTCCAAGAAGAAGGGAATGATAATATATGATACTTCTGAGTACTATATAGCCAAAAAACTGTGGAAAGGGTCTCAGTAATTTGGAATTGATTGCATGTACTTATTAATTAAAAGGAAGAAAAGTTGTTCCTAAGGCTGAGTTACTGGCAACAAGAAGTTTAAGTGAAAATATATCAGGTTCTGGTTTCACCATTTTCCTTTGCTTCTGTTTACCTCATGAATGTGGCAAGTTATCTGAAACTGCAAGTGTTTGGCCCCAGACTAAAAGATTCCCCTCGATGGTCCAGGAGATATTGATCAGATTGGCTCTTTTGAAATTTGCCAAAATACTGGACCTACTTACAAAAAATCAGTGCTGTCAGGTCATCCCTTACATACGGAAACCTCTTCCAAGGTTTTCTAGGTAGAGAAAATCAAAAGAAACAAAACAAAAATACAAAAACGTCTGGCACCTTAAAGACTAACCATTATATTTTAATGTAAGAGTAGAGAATACTCAGAAGTGGTTTCCCATTCCCTTCTTCAAGGGCTGCTCTGCGATTGTACATCTTGCCAAAGACCATACAGGCTGGCTCTTTTCCCTGGAGGTGCTGTGGGGAATGTTCCTTCAAAGCCTCAGTTGCCTAGCTAGGTGCTCCTGCTTAGCACACATCAAAATGCACTTGGAATTTAAAAATTACCATTTGAATTCTTAACATTTGAGCTTTGATATGGAAAGTGAAAAATGTTCAATTCTCTCATGTTTCTATTTGCTGTACCCGCTGCACCTGTGGAACACACAACCATGATCTCTTGTTTTTCAACACCATCTTGCACTTTTGAAAGCAGCTGCTTTTTAAAGGCTGCAACTCAGCCTTTTGCACTCATGGGAAAAAGTACAACTGTATACAGTGGGGATTCTGGAAGAACTCACACAAGATTCACTATGAAGTACCTCACACATAATTAGCTAAGGTTGCAGTTCTGTGTCTGTTTACTTGGTGATTAATTGAAGTGAATTTACTAAGATTTGTCTTTTGATATATACATATAAGGCTGTGTTATAAGAGAATGAGTTCAATAACTGAATAGCAAGTTCTGTATGTTTTGGTTTTGTCCTGTTATACAAACATATGTTCTAATGTCAGCTGTAATTGCCATATGTTATGCAAAAATATATTTTGTGGTAATTACAAAAAATATTTATCATTTTTAATCCCCCCTTTCTTCAAGAAGCTAAGGCTGGTCTCCATGCTTCCCTTCATTTTAGTCCTCACAATAACAGGTAGGTTAAACTGAAAATGGCCATACTGGGGGAACCCAGAGCCTTCTTGGCTGAGCAGGTTTTTGAACCTGGGCCTCTAATGTTCAAGCCCAATGCAGGATTTGCCACATCACACTGGCTCATGTGTGTGAGATAGCAGGATTTTAATTGAAAGGATTCCTAGAAAGCTGTGGTATGTTTTGAGCTTAGTCTGGCTCCATTAAACCTCAGAGGTTATAATAATAATCATGTGCTGTCAAGTCAATTCTGACTTATGGCAACCTTTTTCAGGGTTTCCAGGTAGAGAATATTCAGAAGTGCTATTCCCTTCTTCTGGGGGCACCCTGGAAATGTGCAGCTTGCCCAAAGCCACATGGGCTGGTGTTACTTACAGGAAGCACAGTGGGGAATCAAACTCCCAAC